TCTCCTTCTCGCTCTCTCAAATAAATAAATAAATCTTTAAAAAAAATTAAAAAAAAAAAAAAGACTAATGGGGTCTCTGTTAGAACTGCTGTTTCAATTATCACCTCTCTGCTCCTCCTCAGGAAGCCAGGAGCACGCACTCGCATTACACCACAGGACCTGGGGAGGGTGAAGTCATGTGTAAGTGTTGCTGCTTGTGGAGTGCTCGTGGAGCCCAGGAGAGCTGCTCTGCTGGAGGCACCACCCAAAGCGGGGAAAAACAACAACAACAACAGAAATGGCTCTCACTTCCATCTTCCAAACTCCTTCCATCCTCTTCTCTCATTGACAGAAACTACCGGGAAGCCAGTTGGGAAGAGAGTTTATTTTGTAGGTTTCTAGCTCTTCATGATCAGAGGGGAATAATAAGGAAAGGCATTTATGGAGCTGAAGGCCAATGGACAAGTTACTGGCCCAACTGTCTGATATGTTACTCTGGGCAAAGGAAAATATACAGTAAGTAAAGCCACAGTTCTTACTTTCATGGATATTGTCTATTAGCATATCCTGGTTCTCCTGAGATTACACAGCTCTCCCATCCCCTGCCTCCACTAAAGTAGCCCACCATAAGAGCAGATGTAAAGGCCAAGAGAAAAGCACAGGATACAGGCTCAGAAGCTGGGAGGATAAGATAGGGTATATTGAGGTGAGGGGGGACAGTGCTAGCAGATGTGGGAGGCTGGCCTGTTCTGTCACCAAACAGCTTTTTGGGGATTTAACAGCCTGCCTCTCAAATAAACCTGTCACTACTTTCTGTGAAACCCTGCTAGGGATAGAAGTCCTCAAACATTAATCCACATACCTGCATCTTCACTTGCTTAGACTCAGAGTGTTCTTGAAGGATGTTGGGATGCCACTGAAGAACTCAGAAAGTTATGCTTTGAATACAGAAACTTATAATCAATTTTGAAATTACATTTTTTAAATGTCTTATAGATTAAAGTCCAGTTCCTTAAAAGTCTGCTGAGTTTTTTGTAATAACCACTTACAAAGCAGGAGTTAATTTGATGTGGGAAGGAGGAGGAATTTTTAGTGTAATTATCAGCATTCAGTTCTGTTTCAAATGGTGTGGGAGCTCCACATGGTGAGTTCATGTATTTAAAAAAAAAAAATCTAATTAAATTGGCTTGGCACTGACAAATCTACTGGTCACAACCTTTTCAATAATGCCTAACAAAGGAAACACTTCGGAAAAATAAATGTAATGAAATAAAGAAGTTGCTCTTTCATATATGTAAGTTCAGATGTTTAAATATGAACCCATATACTCATAATCGTGTTTGGAGTTTATTACATTTTTAAAATTTAGTTTTATTTATATAGGTAATTCACAGATAGCCAATGTGATAATTCAAAAGTCCAGATAATATAAAAGATTTTTATGACCCCCTCACAATCCTGTTTCTCTAGAACCACTGTTATTTGTGTATCTGTGTGACATCCTAACCTTTTTTCTTTGTGTTACCTACGTATGCACTCGTGGATTGCATTGGCTGTTTTGAAAAAACTTGTACAGAAATGGAGATCCATAGATAGCAAAATTGGCTGTATACTTTTCAGCTACTTTCATTGAGAGATGGAGGTTTTTTTCCCACCCCTTGAATCCAACCAGCCTTGTGACTTGCTTTGACCAATATAATGCAGAAGTGATGTTGTGTCAGTTCCAAACCTAGAGGCCTCCTAGCTTCTAGTCTCACTGCCTTGGAACTCTGAAACCAGCATGGAAACAAACCTGGACTAGCCAGCCATCTGGAGACCGGAAGACCACATGGAAAGTGGTCCCACCCCAGTCTATTTACCAGATGAATGTAAATGTCTAAGTGAGCCTACCTGAGACTAGCTGAGCCCCGCCCAAACCATAAGAATTACCCGGTTGAGTCCAGCCTGAATTACTGACCTGCATAATTTTGAGCTAAATAAATGGTTGTTTTAAACAACTAAGTGTGGGGACTGGTTGTATTATGAGCAAAAGCAAACTGATACTACACCATATAGTATGTAGTTCTATAATTTTTTTGCTTTACTCACTATGTTACAAAGTGTTTGACTTGTCAATGCATAAAGATCCATCTTATTCTTTTTAAGAGTTATGTGAATTTCCATATTATGGATATTCTACAGTTTAATATTTTCTCTATGCCAGACATTTAGGTTGTGCCTACCTGCCTCCGTCCTTCTCTCCATCTCCTGTATTATAAGTATCTCTATAGTTGTTGTATACTTCCCCTACTCTGTCTTTTCTCTGCTAATATGGGTTATCTTTTTCATAGACATTTTAAAATATATAATAAAATGTATCAATCTTTCCCTTAGTGGCTTTCCTATTCTAAATTTTGCTCAAGAGCAATTTTCCAACCATATATATATACTCTATTTCTTTCTAATACAGAATTTTATGTAAGTGCCTATGTGTATGTGTGGGTGTGTTAGATTTAATTCATCAATCCTCTGAAATTTATTTGAATTTATGGTGTGAAATAGTGAATATTTTTGTCAACTGGATAGCCAAAGGTTCTAAACACCATTTAGAGTAGTTCAATCATTTGCACTGATTTGAAATACCACCTCCACTCTGCATTTAGATTATCTGCTTCAAGACTTTAATCTGTTCCATTGATCTATTTATTTGCTTGTTACCAGATCAGTAACAAAATGACCACTGCAATGTAACAATAACTACTGCTTTATAGTACGTTTTGACATTGGCAAAGTATCTTCTTTTTTTCAAAAATGTCTTGAATATTCTTCAATATTTTCTCTTTCAAAATAATTTGAGTCAGTTTTAAAAATCCATGAAAAAGTCATTTTGGAATTTTAATAAGGCTTACCTTAACTTTGTAGATTAATTTGCCGTCAGTTGAACTTTTAACAACCTTGACTTTTGTTGTCAATGATCATGATATGCCTTTTCACTTCTTTCCTATGTCCTTTGGTAAAATTTTATAGTTTTCTTTTTTAATATATTACATGCTATTCTTTGGTTTAGTTCTCAGAATTACCATGGTTTTTTTAAGCTATTTACATTTTCTAACACATTTTAAAATTTATTTTTGCTTATGTTTGAGAAAATTTTTCCTGAAAATAGTTTTCTTTAAATTTGACCATTTTGGTAAACTCATTTATTCTAAGAATTTGCCACTTGATTCCTTTGGATTTTCTGGGTAGCTAATCATATAATTTAAAACGATGAGAGTTCCTAACTTTTATTTTACCTTTCATTTCATTATTTTACTTTTTTTTTTTTCCTGGTACTGAATTGGCTAAAACCCCCTGTGTGTTCGTATTGGTCAGTTCAGTTTGTCATAACTGAAGAGTAGAGTCTGGGTAACTTAAACAACAAAAATTTATTTTCTCACAGTTTGGAGTCTGGAAGTCCCAGATGAAGGTGCCAGCAAGATGGTTTCTGATGAGAACTCACTCCTCAGCTTGCAGACAGTGCCTTCTCACTGTGTCCTCTCCTAGCCCTTTCTTTGTGTGCGCTCAGAGAGGGAGCTCTGGGGTCTCTTTTCCTCTTCTTGGAAAGACACCGATCCTCACAGATTAGGGCCCCGTCCTTATGCTTCATTTAACCTTCATTATCTCCTTAAAGGCCAAATCTCCAAATACAGTCACACTGGGGATCAGGGCTTCAACATATTCCATTTCTGGGATATTAATATAATCCCATTTCTGAATTAGCATTAAAAATAATATTTTTAGGGGTGACTGGCTGGCTCAGTGGGTGGTGAGGCATGTGACTCTTGATCTTGGGCTTGTGAGTTTGAGCTCCATGTTGGATGTAGAGATTATTTAGAAATAAAATCTTTTTTAAAAAATGGCTTAAAAAATAATACTTCTATTTTCTATTCTGAATATCTGAGAAATAATGTGTGCAAAATGTGCAAAAGAAACAAAATCAAATTGATACAAATCAGAGTTACCACATAGGTTTATTTGAAAAATGTATGTTTGTGCATAGAGCACCTAGTTCATGATGGAGACAGACCAAATGTTTAAAAAATATTTATTGATTGACAGTAGAACTGCCACAAACCTTTGCTATTATGTGTGTGTTGTGTCTAAAATGCCCATAAGTAATTGTGTTTAATACTGTATAGATAGGTGGTTTATGTTCAAAAAACAATCATTCCTTTTTTCCTATTCATTTAGTAAAGACTTGGAGTTGGACAGTGGGTGCATTTCAAGACAAAGACATCATCTCTTCCTGGTGTTTGAAGACCTTAGGTTATTCTCCTTGAACTAAAGTGGTAAATACTGTAATAAATAGAAATCTCTATTTCTTGCTATCTCAAGGAAGTCAACAAAATATTATGGTGATCCAGTAGTTTATAATTCCCAGTCCCTTATGAATTAGAAATTTTTTGGCAAAATATCACATTTTAAGTCATAAATAAACAGTGTATTCTGAGCAACTCCCACCCAAAATTATTCTTAAAACTTCCATTCATTGAAAAAAAATGACATAAGATGACTTAGGTAAAGGATTAACATGTTTTAAGCACATTGTAAACTTTTATTTGTTTTAATAGATTTTATTTATTTGACAGAGAGAGACAAAGTGAAAGAGGGGAACACAAGCAGGGGGAGTGGGAGAGGGAGAAGCAGGCTTCCCGCTGAGCAGGGAGCCCGATGCGGGGCTCGATCCCAGGACCCAGGATCATGACCTGAGCTGAAGGCCGACGCTTAACGACTGAGACACCCAGGCGCCCCTAAGCACATTGTAAACTTTCAACAATTGTTAGTTACCTCCTAATCCTTAAAAGAGCAAAAATTAAAGATATGCATGATGATAAAAGGATATTTATTTGATATATGCCTTATATAGGTTGCCCTTTCTGCAAGACAGAAGATTTCATTCTTTCTCCTTCTTTCTATTCCATATCTAATCTCAAGGAGGCTCTTTAACATTTTTTATTATTGAAGTAGAGTTGACACACAATATTATATTAGTTTCAGGTATACAACATAGTGATTTGACAACTTTATGCCTTACACAATGTTCACCATGGTACCATCTGTCACCATATGACATTATTACAATATTATTCCCTATATTCCTTATGCTATACTTTTCATCCTATGATTTACTTATTTTGTAAGTGGAAATTTGTGCCTCTTAATTCCCTTTACCTGTTTCTCCCATTCCTTAACCCTCCTCCCTTCTGGCAACCACCAGTTTGTTCTCTGTATTTATGGTATTTATGAGTCTATCTCTTTCTGGGTTTTGTTGTCATTTGTTTGTTTTGTTTTATAGATTTCACATATAAGTGAAATTATGTAGTCTTTGTCTTTGTCTGACTTATTTCACTCAGCATAATATCCTATTGTTAAAATGTCCATACCATGCAAAGTGATCTACAGATTGAATGAATTCCCTATCAAGGAGGGTCTTTTTACAAAAAAATGAACACATTAACTAAAAATCCCACACTTTTACAGACATGACTGGGCTCAGATACCCTTAAGTATCCAAATCCCTGCTCTGCATCCATTATGGCTTGGTGACCTTGGCAAGTTCCTTATTCTCTCTCATCCTCAATTTTCCCATTCATAAAATCAGGATAATAATTTAGGAATAATAATAAGTTAGGAATAATAATACATTCCTTATGGATTTTCTGTGAGAAGTACATGAATTAGCTTATGTGAAATCCTAAATAGGAGCTCAGTAGAGGAAATATTATTATTATTAATAAACACTCATATTTTCTTGCATACTGATTTAATTTGAAATATTTAACTTGTTCATGGAAATGAGTGTGGAGAAACCTTAAGGAGTCTAATTTCCAACCATGATTTTAAAAAAATCTACTTGAACTTTTGAGTTTCTTGTAATATTATATCTAGGACTCCAAATTTTGTTCTCAGATGCACCAAAGACTATAAAAAGTCCTTTGTTAATGGTGGAAAATAAACAGCTTCTTAGGAAATAAGACTTCGTCATGCAAGAGTATATAGATTTATGTCCAGTTCTTTGATTAAAAAAAAGAGAAAAAGCCTTTCTGGAGTCAGAAATGTTTCTCAAACCACTATAGAATAACAATTATGAGTCTCCACTTTTTATTTTTATTGCTGGATTGAAAAAGATGACTCTCTACAATGCCTACACCAGGAGGATATTATTCTACAAATAAGGGCCCAGCATGACATTTATGAGAAAGCCAGGGTCCTTCTGCGCAAAACTGATTGGTGCTCAGCCAATGGGCTCTGGGGCATTGCAAATAAAGGTACGTTCTCCACTGGGCCTGATCAGAAGCAGGGCAGAGTGTTGCCTCTGCCTGTGGAACTTCAGGAAATGCTCAACTCCTGGCCTAGCCGACTACATCTGTGGCTAGCAAAGAGAAACTGGGCTTTGAAGATGAAACACCTTGTTCCTCAATTCCCTTCCATCTTGGCCATCTATTGCTTCTGCATGCTACAGATTCCCTCTTCAGGTAAGGGGACCCCTTCATCAGGCCCCCAGCTAGCCTGAGCCCTAAGGAAGACTGAGACAGACCTTGATCCTTCAGGGTGGTTCTGGAGGGAGTCAAACTTAATCCCCTCACCTACCCCCATTTCCACCCTTTTGAAATGGCTTTCCATTTGTCTCTAACCTTTAAGAGAAGGTGGACAGAATTAGATGCTGCAGCCTTTTACCAAAGGAGGCGACTTTCCCTTGTGGAACTCTCTTTAAACAATTCCTGACTCAGGGCTGTCCCAAAGATGTGCCACTAAAACTGTGAGGGATATGAGTTGAGGACCCCAGTTTCTTAGCCATCTGTACTCCGGGAATTCTGAAGAGAAGAGAACAGAGACGGTGAGACTGAGTTTACAGACCCAAAGACTGAGGATTGAGGGACAGTTGGAAAGGGGCGGGGAGGGAGCAGAAACAGGAAAAGGAATATTTTCATAGCCTTTCTGTGGGGTCGCAGGAGGCAGGATCCCAGACAGAGCTGCGGAGGCCCCCAGTCTTCCTGGGCTTGGGCGCTGTCCGAGGTTCTGACTGGACGCGAGTGTCGCTTCACTAACTTCTGAGAACCCGCAGGATTGCAGGGAACCAGGGGTGGGGTATAGGGTCAGTAGTCAGAATGCGTTACCCATTTCAAGGTAATTGCCAAATGATGCAGGGAAGCATGTGGTGGTAGCTCCAATTGGAAGCAGGGACTATTTCAAAATTTCAGATTTTGTCATTAGAATTTTGATCTCGGGGTGCAGAAAATCTTTGAAAATATATTCAAACAGAAAATATACTTCAAATAGTGTGTTTGTTTTGCTATGTCCTGTAGTGTAATCACAAAACCTAGGCATTGCAAGGAACCTTGAAAGTCATCTAACCTTTCATGGAGAGCAGGGATCTATGATTTCCCTATTTGATTACTTTCAGTGACACCCAACTCAATACCAGCCTAAGAGAGCCGGTAGCTGCCTCTTCTGGGCTCCAATAGCATCTGTTTGTGTTACACTTTTGGGACTTTGTTATTACTTTTTATCTGTCTATATATTTATATCCACCTCCCCCTTTTCCTCTTTGATTTTATGTTTCCTGAGGGTAGGTCCCTATGGTCTTTATCATTGTACTGTTAACACAAAACCTCTTAATAAATCCTTATAGGATTGGTTCAAATTACTCTGCATTTTTGAATGGCTCCAATCATCAAAATTTTCTTTACACTAAGCTGAAATCTGGTCACATGTAACTTCTAACCGTAACAAGCCCTACTTCTATCCTTTGGGAATACAGAATAGGACTAATATCTCTTATGACAGTTCTCAAAATAATTGAAAGCAGTTAGCATACACTTCCTAATTTTCCTCTTTGCCAAAGAAAACTATTCTTTGTACCTCTAACTCAACTACATATTCTATCATTTCAAGTAGGATTATTACCTTTCAAGGCTTGGACACTATTATTTCTGTATAGCACAACATTGCCTTAGCTTTTTCTTGGCTCGTAGAGAGATTACAGGAAGCAAAATATTTTAAGTATTTTAAATATATATATACTACTCTTGAGCCAGATATTCCCTGTCCTATATTTAAAAAATCTAAGTTCAGGGTTTTACATTCATCCCATTTAATTTCATCTATCCAATTGGTTCCTTCAACTGCTGTATTAGCTATTCTCCCAAGTATTGTATCACACCCAAATGAGAAGAAGACGTCATTTAGGCCAGCTAAAGATTGACTGGCATAGGGTGCTGCCGCGTGCTGGTAACAGCCTCGCCCAGAACCCACCCCTGAGGAGTCTGATAAGGCACAGAGATGAGTATCTGAATTTCTTAAAATTTCCAAGAGTGATTTTGATGCACATACTTTCTTGACACCATTTCCTGATATCTTCATGAATTCCATCAAAATACAAATTGAGTTGTTACCCAGATATCTTTTCCCTCTTTCTTGAGTTACTAACTCTTATACTGCTAACTCCTTGTAAATAAAAAAACACTGTTTTTAACTAATTTTGGTACAAATCTCAACTTACTGTTGGTAGGTAGAAGTGTGTTTTCTTTGTAAATCCTTTTAAAAATATTGTATTTCTAGAATCTCTGTATGTTTTTCATGGTAAAGATTTAAAAGTTAATGCTATGACCTTCCCCCCCCAATATTATTTTTATGGTTTCTTTCACAGTAGGATTTCCTCGACCTCTAGCTGATCCCCCAGATGGCTTGGATGTCATGCAGCTTGAGGTACACTGCTGTTCAGTAATGTGAGATTTTTATTTAGTCTTGGCCTTGAAAATATCATGTGGCTAATGTTCACTTGAAACTATTTTAAGATCAGATTCTTGGCTGCAGCAGGAATTCATGTTGCCATTTTCATGGCCTCATTTAAGCCATCCTGAGAGTTGTGTTGAAATTCACTGCCACTGTGTGAGAAGATAATGCAAGGTTCATAAATGCAACAATTTTAGAATTTTATATATGTGTTAATAGATTGCTATTGACTAAGGAATTTATTCTGATCTTTGATTCATTTTTCATATTTTTCTTTAGCGTCTGGCATATTGGGCAACTCTTTCTAGGCAACTTAAGGTAAAAAAGTATATATATAATAATTCTTTTATTTTTATCTTTATTTTTTTCAAGATTTATTTATTTATTTGAGAGAGAGAGAGAGAATCAGCACACCTGTGAGTGGGGGGAGGCGCAGAGGGAGAGAATCTCAAGCAGACTCCGCACTGAGCCTGGAGCCTGACTACAGGGCTCCATCTCACAACCCTGAGATCCTGACCTGAGCCGAAATTAAGAGTCAGGCACTTAACTGACTAAACCACCCAGGCACCCCCATATAATAATTCTTTTAGTTATAAGTGCACATGTTTATACCATAATTGATATCTGTAATAAGCTACCTATAGGAGAAGTCTATGTGAACATCTATGTCCGTGGGTAAGAATGTAGTTTTAGGAAATAACAAGTGAATCTCTCAAATATAAAATACCATAAAATATTGGTAGTTCATGTATATTTTATAATTATCATAATAATGTATACATGTATAATTACATTAATTATATATGTTATGATATATCATGACATACATTACAATTGATATACTATAATATAATAGTTCTTCAAAACAATAGATCTTGTGTAAAGGACCTAACACTGATAGTAACCACAACAGAAATGTTTCAGTGGATACAAAGTAAATGCTGATTCAATCAAGAGTGCAAGAGGGTGGTATTAGGGTGGAGCCCGTGATTCTTAAGCATAAACTGAATCTTTTCATGTTTAACATGTTTTCACCTTGAGCTATATCCTTTCTTCCTCCTTCCCCTCTCCCAAGCCACAGCATACTGTGTCCTGGCCACATTGAACTTCTCATTATTCCCCAAATGCATCAGGCCCTTATATCTTTGCACAGGTGTTTCCTTAGCCAAAAATGCCTTTGCAGGCTGTGTTAACAGCTCAGACTCTAAAACCAAAGTACCTGGGTTCAAAACCTACATCTCCTTAACTTTGGCAAATCTCTTAATCTCTCTGTGTCTTGGTTTCCCCATCTATAATATGGGAATAATAGTTATACTAGCCTCATAATGTTATTGTGAGGATTGAGTGCTTGATCCTTGTGAAGTGTTTTCAACAGTGTCTAGAACACAGTAAATGACAGCACTTAAGTACCAGCTGCTACCATTGTCCCTGATGCAACTAATGGCCGTTCCTCAAGACTCAAACATTTCTTTCTCTCTTTTTTTAAATTTTTTTTAAAAGATTTTATTTATTTATTTGAGAGAGAGTGAGAGAGCACAAGCAGGGGGAGCAGCAGAGGGAAAGGAAGAAGCAGGCTGCCCGCTGAGCGGGGAGCCCGGTGCGGCGCTCTATCCCAGGACCCTGGGATCATGACCTGAGCCGAAGGCAGACGCTTAATGGACTGAGCCACCCAGGCGCCCTTACTTTCTATCTTAAGCTTCACAAATATATCATGCTTATTTCTCCTTATTTTCAGTTTATCCTTATGCACATGTCTGAGGACAATTGTCCTCCCTTATTTTTAGAACTAATCTTTACAGCCTTGCTACCCAGAGCAAAAATTCAGGGCGAAAATTCAAAGTTTTCCATCTCCTTGCCACTGCCTCTTCACTTCGCACAGAATGGGCTTCCCTGTCCCCCACATGAAGGCTTTGAGGGTGTCCCCTGCAGGAGCAGAAGTGGAGTGGAGCTGTCACATGGGCCACCTACAGTAGTAAATTGGGTTGTGCATTTCCCTGAGAGGAAAGGCCCACCTGGAATGAATTTCTGTCCACTTTCTCCATTTTCCCAAAGCTGATCCTGTTCACTATCTCCAGTCATAGAAGAACAAAGGGTTGTTCAGTGAACAAAACTGTCAATATATTAAATCTATTAACAGAGACACTGTGGCTCTTCCTGGTCTTGCCGCTGCATTAAAATAGGACCTTTGGCATGTCACCTCCTCTCCTGGGGTTCTGGCTCCCTCAACTATCCCATGTCCGGATGAGCCACCTGGGCTCTAAGTCCACTACCAGTTCTGGTCTCCAGAAAAGCCAGGTCTGTGTCTCCAGGGCACTTTTATCTTGAAGCAATTCAGAAAGCAGAGCTACATTCTACAGATAATGACACCTGCAGAAAGTCTTCCTGTTTTGTGTTCCTGGTGAGAGCAGAAGTTTAGATAGGAAAGGGGGCAATAGATTCTTGTGAACACATTTCTACTATTCATCCGTTCAAAAAAAAATATATTTATTGAGAGTGTGGCATGTGTTAAGTGCTAAAGATGCAGTAGTGATCAAAATAGACAAAACTACCTGCTCTCATGAAACTTAAGTTCTAGTTGGGGAAATAAATAATAAGTTAGAGAGGTAAGCATATTTTTTTCTGTAAAAAGAAAAAATTGAAGCAAAGAAGGTGCATATGAAATGTTGAGAGTGGTGTTTGAGCACCTGGAAAAGCATCTTCATATTCCTTGTTATTTTTTGGTTTGAAACATAACAGTATAAAGCTGCTGAATACGGTACATAAAATCAATTGTTTGCCCAATGCGTGCCCAGGAAACACACATACACTCACACATACATGACAGGGCAAGTGTGTGTGTGTGTGTGTGTGTGTGTGTGTGTGTGTAGTATACATAAACATGGGCTGCTTCCCATTAGAAACTCGTCACAGTTTGTAGGAAGATGTAATTGTATCAACAGCAACAAATTAAAAGTGTTATCAACAACTTTCATTTCTGTCTTAAGTTTGAGCTGATTCAAAAAGGTTTCAGTGTGATTGAGATGTGAATGAGCAATATTAACCAGATCAGCAGATTTAAAATATCATTTACAGTAATCATTTCAAGCAATTTTATAAAATGCAGACATGGAAACCTTATTTATTATTTTGTAAGATGTCTTTTTCACAACAAGATCCTGGAGTGGAATATGCTGCAAATACAACCATCCCCACCTGTCATCCATGTAAACAAGGGCCAGGTGGTGCTCTAACAAGGATTTAGAAATGAAAAGTTGGGCTTTCTGCAAGAAGAGTGGAGATTCATGTAGAAAGCTTTTTCCGGGGGCGGGAGGGAGAGTTTGGTCGATTTAAACCAACCCCCCAAAAAACTGAATTCTAGAGTACACCCAGGAAAAAATTAAAAATTGCAATCATTAATTTTATTCCAACTCTTTGATGGTTATCTGGGAATTAATTAGGGGATTGCTTCTATGAGCCACAGAGCATGTTTTTCTCCCCAAGATTCGAAAGGTAAAATGAGATTCAGTCTTAAAATAATGATGTATTGCTGGCAACTTGCTTTTTTGTAAAACCCTGCATCAACTTATTAAGTTTGGATTTCTTTTTAGACTGCCAATTTATTTCATAATATTCAGATAAATTCAATAAGGTCCATGGTGTAACTTATACTGAAGATTTCATCAATTGCCTACCCAAGTAAAATTCCATGTAACTTACCCTCACAACTCTCTTTCTAGGATAATCAAGACATATACAAAAGGGTGAGTACCACCCAGTGGGCAATGCAGGCATGTAACTTTCACGTTTATACCAAGTGACACTTGTACTAAACTCAACTTTTTTTTTTTTATTCAGTTTTTATTTCACTACTCCAGAACTCAGAAGCCGACACAGCCAGTTAAAAGTGGGGTCAGTATTTTACCATACTCATCTTTCTGTAAAAGTGACTCTCCTCTGCTTGTCTTTTATCCTGTCCTAATTAATATGTGCAGATAAGTAGAAAAGCAGGGAGCTTGCAGACACTGTCTGTGTAATAGCTTTATAAGAGCTTTTTCCTGGGGCTTCAGGGATTCTCTGTCCCGGTCTGGGCTGGGGTGGTGGGAGGCTGACAAATCTGAAAAGTTAGAGACTATATTCTAGAAAAGGAAAAATAAGTGAGGAGTAACTTTTTATTATGCACTTCAACAGATGTTTGAAAAAGACCTGATAAATACTGAGCTCAATTTACATTTATCATATTACCTTTTTTTTTTTTTAATTTTAAAAAGTGCTTCGTGAAGTGTAAAGTGCCATATCCCCAATAGTGATCCATGCAGGTGCACCTTCTATAAGCATCACTGTATATATGTGCTATGGGAATAACATGCATCACCTCTAACTTTGTTATTAGAAACTTGAGTTACCCTCAGAAGCAGGTTGTGTAAGTGAATTTCTGCAGAGCATGATTTGAGGAATTTAGGAAGGTCATAGCATAAAATTTTTAATTCAGGGGTTCTGTTTTAGTAACTGAAATTCTACCATTAGAAAGTCACTTACTTATATAATCAAGATTTTCCACGTCTTCAAGAAAAATACCTTAAAAAAATACCCAGTGAAGTGTTTTTTCCCTAAGAGGCAAAGACTCATCTGTAGTATAGGTTTAGGAATGAGGATCAGGTGAGGATAAGGATAGTATCAGGAAGGGCTAAGGGCACTACAAAGGGAAAAAAGACAATGGAAGGAGGAAGATGAACTCTGTGACACGAATGAACCTTTACTCTAAGCCAAAATACTCAGGGAGGATTCACAAAGACTAGGTATAAGACACGGGTATGTATGTCTGAGTGTGTGCCCCAGCCACAGACAGGAAGTGCAGGAAAATCCAACGCATGAGGGAGAGGGGACTGAAACTCCTGTTCCATGGATGGAAACTGTCCTTCCACCTCCTCCCCTGGACTAGGAGAGACACTTAGAGCGGAAAAGGACCATGCACTCCACCCTAGGAAGACAGAACGCCTGGGGATAAGGCAGAGAAAAGTCTGATTTACCCTAAGGGAATAGTTGTAAGTGAGGTGTTGGAATTGTAACCTGCGATAAAGGCAAGCAGTTCTTTATTGAAAACCTAAGGCGTGGACATGGATTTTATTCTGGACATTAAACCCATCTAAGGGAGGGAGTGGAGAGGGCAGCGTACCCTGGGCTGCGTCCCGGCGGGCGTCCGAACCCCTTCCCCCCACCCACCCCGCCTCTGTTGCAGATTCCTCCCGTGCACCCGTTAATGCGCCTGGCCGCGCAGCTCGAAGACCGGAGGGTGAAAAGATTTCCGCAACAGCGCGTAGGTGCTTTTCTCTTGGGGCCTCTTTTTATGCCACCCCAAGTTCACTTAACCGTGGTAAATGCGTGTGGTCGCTGGGGGGAGGGGGGAATAGGGGGAAGGGGAGGCTCATTTGCATGCTATCTTTGAATCTCAGCCTCCACCTTGGGAAGGAGCGGGCCCTACCTTGCGCCACAGTCCCCTCCCTTGAACCGCACAGAGTGGCTGCAGGGCCCCGGGCACGCCCCTAGGACAAAGCCGTCCTCTTCCGCTCTCTTCCATTTGTTTCCTTTTAGTTTCCGTGCTGTTTTTTTACTTTCCCGACCCGTCCTCTTCCTCTTGACGTGGACATTGCCTTGGTGATCCCCTGGGCTCCCCGTTGTTGCTCCACCTGCCCTTTTGTCCTATCTCAGAACTTTGTTTCTTTAGACATAGTTCTTTTTGTTTTTTGTTTTTTTCAGTTTAGAAATTACTAGCTTCCGTAATAGGTATAGTTGTTCGAAATGCTAATTTAAGTTTTATTACATGGTAGCCAAAAAGAAAAAAGAAAGAAAGAAAGGAAGGAAGGAAGAAAAAAAAAGAACATTTTCTTTCGAATGCTGAAACTCATCCGGGTTTACCCAGGACATTCCTGGTTTTAGCTCTGAAAATCCCAAGAGCCCCAGGAAGCTGCTCAGTTCCTGGGAAATGGGTTGGTCATCTTAAGCACTGGCAGCAGTGTGTCTTATCTGATCCCGCTGCTCCCCAAAGCCTTTCCGATTGAGTCTGATCTGTTGTTAGGCCAGACCCACAAGCAAAGACAAGCTGAAGAAGCTGCCAGGGCATACCCTTGGATGGGGGGTCAATTTCAAGTTGACGCTGTTGGGAAGAGCAAGCCAATTTAACATTGTCCTGGACGCAAATGGTACCTCAATCAAGAACATGCCTGTCTTCCGGAACAGGCAATTATAATTGGTTACATAGTTAGCCCTTCCCCTAAACTGCTTTTTTGCCCCCGATTTCTGGTACCAGAGGATGGAGCCAGGGATGCTCAGGGTCGCAGTGGAATGACTGCAAGCCTGGGGGATGCGGTTCTTGTTACGTTAACCTGTGCCTCGTTCCCTCCCAGGATTCGGGGACTGCCACAGTGGATTTCACCAAGAAGGTATGGAAGCCCTGTGGAGAAGTGCTTGGAGATGGGCAATCTTGTCACCCCTTTAGATCATTTCTGGAAAGAACTGGTCTCACAGTATGCCCCTGAAAATCTTCTCTGAGGCTGAGCATTTAATTTCAGGTTTTCCTGAGCTTGTCCTGAGGCAGAGAGGACTCCCGGAGCAATGCTTCTTGCTGTTTATATTTCATCTCCAGCCTTGCAGATGAGTCACCTGGACCCATCTGTTCCTGAGGATTTGCTTGATGTGGCTCAGGGGCCCACATGGCAGTTGTACAAACTTGGGGAGAGGTACTGCGAGTGCATAAGCCTCGTATACCAGCGCTTCTCCAAGTTGACCATGAGTCATCCATACGTTGGGATCTTGTTAAAATTCTGACGGCTAGGGCCCAACTCCAGGTAGTCAGTAGGGACCTGAGAATTTGCATTTCTAACTAAGTCTCAGGTGTCATTGACGCTTTTGGTCTGGGGACCACACTTTGAAAACTGCGGTCATAGACATCGTCAGACCTTTGGCACAAACTGGTTGCATAATGGTTTGTGTTTTTATGTTGCAGGATCACACTGCCACCCGGGGACGACCATTTTTCCTTTTCAGGGTATAGCATTTCTCTTTCTCTGTTTTTAACCCCAGTTCCCTCCTGCCACACAATTATGGATTCCTCCAGAATGAGCACAGCCCAGCACCCCATGGCAAACTGGTGAATAATTATGGGGACTCTCTCATCCTTTCCTTAGGGGTGAATTTCAAAGTCTCCTCCTAGAAACCTGATGTTTATGAAAGAAAGGGTGCAGAAGGACATAGGCTGAGAGAACCAGAGCTCTGGGAGCGTGGGTGGGAGGCAGGAATGCTGCTGTTGGACAGACACGGGGGCCAGCCAGAATTGGCATCTGTGTCCCTGAGCATGAAGGTCCAGGATACGTGCCCCCAAATAGTGTAGGCGCCATGCCCTCCTCCTTCCCTGGGGTCTCCGAGCCTCCTGCTAAGGTCACAGAATCAGAAACTGTCTTAGGGCGCCTGGGTGGCTCAGATGGTTAAGCGTCTGCCTTCAGCTCGGGTCATGATCCCAGGGTCCTGGGATCGAGTCCCGCATCGGGCTCTCTGCTCCTTGGGAGCCTGCTTCTCCCTCTGCCTCTCTCTCTCTGTCTCTCATGAATAAAAAAAAAAAAAAGAAAAGAAACTGTCTTAGTTTGTGATCCACCACTCATTAGCTATGCTTCATCCCCTAGATCCTCAAGGGTTTGCATCCAAAAAATCAGACCACGAATCAGACAGACTCCTGCCCCTCAAACTGTATTCTGTGGGTCACTGGTGCAAAGATCAGACAAGCTTGGGAAACACTGCACCCAACACTCTCGAAGGTTCACAGTGCACACCGGCATGTCCTGCAGGAACTATATAAGAAAGCTGTGGGAAACATAGTTTCCACCGTGTTTGATCATGGAAGTTCTTCCACTCCATGCTGCCTGTATGACCCATTAGTGGTTGTTCTCTAGAAAGTACTTTGAGAAACCGTGGGTCTCCATGATGTCTTCAGGGTGAGAAGTCCTTTGATAAATGGTTTGAAGACCGTCCTGCTGCATCAGTGGAGGCCAGGGTGGGGGGAAGGGGAGGGGTCAATATCAGGGCTGGAGGAACAGCAAGGGTCCTGGGGCACTGCCACAGGGGACCTACATCCTCGCCCCGGGCGAGGGCTTCCCAGGTGAACTCCCAAGGAGGCTGCTGACATCCCAGTTAGAACGAGGCCTTAGGGCCCAGGTGAGGAAGGATCTGAAGCCCAGAAACAGGTTCCAGGCAGTTTTGTCTCAGTATCTGTAAGCTGCTCTTTTTTTTTTTCCAGCCAAGGAACGGAAGAAACACTGACGATAACACCCGGTAGGACAGTCCAAGGTCAGTGCCATTGCAACTGTTCTCCTCCAAGCAAAAGTTGTGTCTGACTGAGGGGGAGTGAGAGCCAGCCAGAGGGGTGGCAGTTCAAGAGCATGGGGGCCACCTGGAACCTCGGAGGGCCCTCCACCCCCTCCTTTCCCTGCTCTGCACACCGCAGAGAACCCCCACCCGGCACACAATGCAGCTTTTGCCCCCATGCTAGCTCTTTGCAGGCGTCTCCGGCAGGGGCTGTGAGGGAATGAGAGCCCCCCTTGGCCCAGCTGATCCTCAGGACTTCTCACCTGACCCTTCTGATGAGGGAAAAGCCCCACCCTGGGCAGGATTGGCACGAGAGGGGGAGCACCTTAGAGCGAGAACATCTCAGAGTAGTGCCAGGCCAGCCCACTCCCACCCATTCAACAGTGTTCTGAGACCCAGAGTTTAAATCCAAGGAGATTCCTTGGTCTTCAGGCCTGTGGAGGTGAAGTCCATGTACGAGGGCAGCTCTGGGCCTCCTCTGTCTCTCATGATGGTGCGTTCCCTGGGGCCTGATGCTGACCTGCTGACAGCAGCCGGGGCATGGGCAGGCCAGGGTGCCGGAGAAAGCTGCCCAGATGCTGGGAGACAGAGCGCTACGGGTGAAAGCCGGGGAAGAGGTTCCCTGAGGCCACAGCACTCACACAGCCTGAATGGCCCAATTAGATACTGCAAAAATAAATAAGTACCGATTTGGGGCATTTATGACTTGTCAAACTGAGGCGTAATTTTAAAATACGTTGTGCAATAACATGCCCACAGGCCTTGTCTCGATTCTGATAATGATTTGATCCAAGTAGTGCATTTTTCTCTTCTTTTTCAGAATTCAGTGGCAAAGAGAAACTGGATCAGATAAAGAAACCGAGCAATTATTTTGAACACATGTCAACTTTCTTTCTGTGAACAATAAAAGATAATTCTCTTGCTCTATATTCACTAGAATATTCAGTTGCATAAAAAAATAAAGCAGCATGGACACAATATTTTCATTTCTTATTGGGAAATCTTGCAGGAGGGATTAGATGTATTTTTAAAATAATAAGATTTTAAATAATAATGTGCTGGGTTTGGCATTGTTTTAGCCTGCTGCAGTTATCTTGTTATTATTGATAATCGAGGGCCCGGGCTAGGGAGAGACTGGCAGGCTTCATGTTCTGATTCTTTCACCTTTTAGCTGGGGGACTGTGGGCCGGTCACTTCCCATCCTTGTGCCTCATCCTCCTCCCTGGTAAAATAGGGTTGGTAATAATAGTACCTTCACATAGTTTTTGTGAGAACGGAGGAGACCATCTATGAAAGGGCTTAGCATGGTCGTACATAGGGAGTGCTCGATAAGCCTTGGCTAATGACACTTCAAAGATTATTTTCATGACGCAAATACTACCAGAGCGACTTGCCCTAACGGCACCACTTCTATCTCACTGACCAGGGACTTGAGGTTACAACACCAAGTTACCATATAACAATTCCAGGAAACCAGGAGGCTTAGCCCTTTTACCTTCTCAGGCTCCTCCTCTGTAAACAGTATTTGACTTTCAGACCTCCCCAGATCATTCGAAGGAGTAGATGACGCAGAAGATGGGCAGTAACACAAGGAGGGACCCTAGTGATAGATGCAACAAACCTAAGCTGCCTTGAAACATCCTTCTTTTAAGCTTCTCATCAAATGTAAAAGTCCTCCTTTTAAAATGTAATGTAGATGTCACACTTTGGGATTAGTTTTTATTTTTAGCATTTATAAGCTCTTGTAATAAGTCTCAAGCCTATTCTCCCAAATAGGGTATTTTAAGCCCCCTCAGTAGATCTTACCCCGCAGAGATGAGTGGAGCAAACCTGACTTCGCGTGACATTTTGCTGAGCACGGTTGCAGGCGGAGGGATCAAGGCACTGGTCTGAGACCCTGCAGTAGGTAGGAGACAGGGCGGGTTTGGCCTCCTGGTGCATCCCAGATCCTCGGAGCACAGGCCGTGCTGACTCAATCTCACGCCTCCCTAATAGTGTGAGCAGAGCACAGCGGTGGTGCGTAATGCTCCAGTACGAGTCTGCAGGAACAGTCTCGACATTTTCAAGTGACCAAAGATGGCTGTTTCTACCCCAAACCAAGCCCCAGAATCCTTTTCACTCAATCAGTGATAATTGACTCCACCCCAGTGGAGGATCATACACTTGGCACGGACCTGCCAAGGGCCAGCCGGGAAGGACGATGTTTATGGGGGCGAGGGATGGGCAAAGAGGGCCACTGCTTCTGAGAAACACTGTTTGAGCTAAAAACTCTTCCTTTGCCCACGCCAGTCTCTGATGATGGGAAGACGGAGACAGACTCTGCAATCTCAGACATCACCTCACTCCTTTTCCCCACAGCAGTGACCAGGGATGCTCCACCAGCGGCAATAAATCCAGAGAGGAAGCAGACTGTGATTTAACCTTCAACTTCCACACTGTGACAACTGGTTCTCCCTCTGTACAGTGCTGGGCTATTTTTAGCCTGGTGTGCTGTGAAAAGGAGCATTATGATATCACTCTATCCAGGTGTCCCATCAAATAAGACCGAGTCCTAGGCCCAATGTTGGTCTCTAGAGGGAGGATGCCCGCCTTCTTAGCCCTGGTGGTCACTTCGTAGGGAGAGGCCATGCCTCAGCCCATTGTCCAGGCCCCTGAGAGCCTCAGGAAGATCAGGGGTCTGAGGCTAGCCAGAACAGAATTTGAAAGGAACTCTCAGAAACTTGGAGTGGGCAGACGCCTCTGATCATTCAGGCCCACCTTCTCATGGGCTGCTGAGGAAAACAGCCCAGAGAGGCCAAGTGACTTACTCATGGCCACAAGGCTACTGGCAAGCATGTCCAGGACAAAGCTCACATCTTTCAATTAACACCTAATTGCTGGGGCACCTGGGTGGCTCAGTTGGTTAAGCATCTGCCTTGGCTCAAATCTTGATCCCAGGGTCCTGGGATCGAGCCCTGCGTTGGGCTCCCTGCTCAGTGGGTTGTCTTCTTCTCCCTCTCCCTCTGCC